GTCCCCTCCTCTGCAGCCAGGGCGGCGGAGCCGGGGCGTGCGTGCTGTGCCAGGAGCTGCCCTACGCATGGTCGGCCATGCGCTCCTTCCTGCCGCCCTGGCAGGGCAGAACGGGCCACCCGGCCGGGGTAAGAGCCTGTCTGCACCAAACAGTGCTGCAGAATAAAGTGTCACAGCAAGACTTGCTGCCCCACAGCCTTCCTGGGTGCACCGGGGGCCGCACCAGCAGCTGCAGGCACTGCCCCAGCCCCCTGCTGCACCATCTCTCTTCCCAGGAGCTGGTCTCCTTCCAGGCTCCCTTCCTTGAACTGCCTGCGCTTCCCTTCCCTCTGGCCCCTTTGCTCCTCACCGCGGTCATGCTCGGTGGCTGGCTCAGGCGCTGGCTGACTCTGGCACCCGGCTCCAGCCAGGGCTAGTCTTGCGTTCCCAGGGCATCCCCCCGGCTTACAGCATTTTTATTCCCCCGGAGGAGGAGGAGGGCAGGAGCACATGCAATGGGGTGGCCAGCAGAAGTGGGGGCCAGGCTGCACCATGCGTAACTATAAATATGCTTATAGGAAACCATTCAGGCTTGCTGGCTCTATGGAGAGATTCCCAGCGCCCTGGCACAGGTGGCAGAGCGGAGATAGGTCCCCTCTGCCACTGGTATCGTCCTTAACACCCGAGACACTGAGCTGCTGTGGGGACACAGCTACAGCCAAGGCCATGGTGGAGGGGCCCTAGCTGGGGATCAAGTGGATGTCAAATGCGCCCGGGCCCCTGGCTGCCAGGCCTTCCTCGGGCCTGGACCTCCATCCCTGCTGGTTTTCCACCTTGAAGTGACTCCACAGCAAGTTGCTGCAGTTGAGCCGGGTGCTGTACAGCCAGTGGAGGGGATGGCTCAGTCACATGTGAGCATCAAGGGGGATCACTCCCAGGTCCTGTTTGCGCCCTGGCTGCAGGGAAGCAGGGCTATTTTGCACTGCTCAGAGGGTGCTTGGGCTGACACAGGCTAACAGTGAGCAGCTGGGGATAGGAGTCAGCATGGTGAAAGCAGGGTGAGCTGGACGGGTCCTGTCCTTTTGCTCCGTGAGGAAATGGCTCAAGATCTCCATGCAGAGCCTGAGATGGCTGACGCCCCACCACCATCTCCTCCTGCCCCCCCCAGCCCCTGGCCTGCAGGCTGCCCTGCCCCACAGCCTCTCCTCCACGGCCGCGTGGATCCTGCTCCTCCATGGGGCCGGATCGCTGCCCCCCAGCTCTGTCCCAGCCCCAGCCGGGCTGCGGCAGGGGAAGGCTTTTCTCAGCTCAGCAGATGGCTTTCTAATTAATACCCTTGTTAGTGCCACTCATTTCCATATGTCTTTCATGTTTAAGCGCTGCGGTGGGTGAGAGGTGTGAGTAACAGTGAGGAGAGAGCCAGGCGAGGTGCCGGGAGCGCCGCGGGCGGGCAGGTCCCTGGTGAT